TATATATATATATATATATATATATATACATATATATATTTAGTTAGACAGTTAGATAGATAGATAGACGGATAGATACAACATCATAAAAACTTTTATTTTGATTAGCATTACACGTTATCATCAATAATAAAAAAAAATACTTAGCAATTTTTTTTTTTTTGTATAATGCAGACGTAGCAGTTTACTTATTGACTGTCTCAATCCATATTTATTTTCGAAACAACGCTTAACTGAGTGTAAAACACAATAAAAAGGTGAATAGTTTTCAATAATTTTTGATACACAAGAGAAAAAAAAAACAGGAATGAGGAGCACAAAAAGAAAATAAATAAAATGTAATAAAAAATAAAAGTAGTTTAATCAATAAGTTATTTAATTAACAATAAATAAATCATTGAAAAATAAAGATAAAGCGATTAAAAAAAAAAAAGAATATTTAAAAATGATGTATTGTTTTGTTTAAAAATTTCAAATTAGGTTTACGAAGGCACAAAATGGCGACGGTTAAAGGAACGGCGGATGGATGAACAATAGTTTGCAGCTGCAGCAACACCAACAACCACAGAAGAGTTTATCCGACAATTTTGCTGTCGTTCAAAATTCAACAAAAACTCTTCTGGCAATCATTTTGGTTTTAAGGGATTAGTAGAAGATCATCGTCATAGTCGTCTTCGTCATAGTCTTCAGTCTTCAATGTTCTCATTTTTCTACAAATATACTTAGGAACAACAACAACAACAACAGCAACTCCAAAACTGAGCAACAAACCGCGACAAGTGATTGAATTGGAAGTGAACCGAAATGAACACTGACGACATTCTGCGTGCATATAACACAAATGTCTTTCTTATTCTTCGGCTGACTGGTACGTTGGTTGATTGTATCGGAGGAGCAAGGAGGAGAGGGAACGGGGGAAGGAAGACGGGAAAGGAAGGGGAGAGGAAGGAAAGGACGAGGAGAAGAGAATGGAATAGAGAAGGCAACTGAGGAAAGCTGCTTACCGCCTATTCTCAAAGACTGAGTGACATAAAAGTAACAACAAAATACATCATCCAACAATAACCATAATCGTCAGTTCACACATTCGATGATCTAAGGTGAAACTATCGTTACCGCTGTGTCCCCGCTTCTACAACTGCAACCGCCGACGTTTTTTGTTAGGCTAACTGCTTAGTTTAAACTATTGTTTCATGCTCGAAGCCATTGTTTAATAACTAATGATGGTGGCATTTGCCAGTCAAACTGTTGAACAACAGCAACAAGAAAAACGGAAACAACTGAAATTTTTTCTGACAAATTGGATTCTTTGAATAATTGGAGACAAATTATAAGGACTTGCAACCGAAAAATTTGTAATTTTTCAATAGATTCCTTAGAGAATTCTGCTTTCTGGTGCGTCCTATTTAATGCAACAAGATTTTTCATACCGCTTCAACATAACTGGCCATCATCTTCAACAGTTTCCCTGAAGAGAAAAAAATGGAAGTTTTTTACTCAGCAAACGCCACTTTAAATGACACTTAACTGACCAGTGGATAGAATTGGTTCTATAAAGTCTTACATATTAATCAAAAAGAATTTTTTTTTGCTCCAGTATCGCAAGAACCAAATTTTGATTCCTTAGAAGTTTACTCATCTACGCCTTGCTATCTTGCATCTGATTTTAATACATTCAACAGCCTTCACTTATTCTAATGATTTTCACCTTCGCAGCCCATAGCTTTCATCAATTCGCTTTCTGCATCGCGCATAGTATATTAGCAAATAACGACATAGTAAATCTTTTATCAGAAAAATTTTAGATTCATAGATATGTCAAAGCTCTACTTTGAGGAAACTATGATTCCCGCTGCCGAATTCGGATGGCATGAGGAAGGAGAATGGGGTTTGGAGAAGAAAAAAGGGCAAAAAGAGAGAGGGAAAAATCAAAGGCGTATTTGCAATCTGATGCCGGTGATATAGCTAAATAATCAAAATTTCCGTTCCCATTACAACAACAACGACAATAAAGGCAAAAAATTTTTGATTGAAAAACGAAGAGGTGCTGATAGAAAAAATACATAGCAGATGAAAAATTAAAGGTGAATAAATAATAAGTATGTCCAAAAGCTGTTTGATAAACCAAAAAGTTGTAAGGATTTTGGGGACGACCACAAACAAAAATACGCACTCTTAAGCACAGCACCTATATATATATATATATATATATATATATATATATATATAATATATATATATATATATATATATATATATATATATATAAACATATATATATATATATATATATATATATATATATATAAATGATATACTTATGCATTT